ATTTTATTTTTTCAGAATTTTATTACGATCTTTTTTAGAATTTTAAACTCTGTTTGGTCCACATTACTTTTTTCATTCTCATTCTTTTACTCATTTTCAATCACACATTTTTCAATAAAATAATATTTTTCATCACATGAATAACTTTTCATTCTTTTTCAACCACATATGCATCATCACATCAACAGTAAAAATGCATTCTTACCTTCAAAATGTACACCAAACGGGTGCTTAGATCTTATTTTTCAAAATTAATTAATTTTATTTTAGAATTTATTTTTTAAAATTTTTAAAATTTATTTGTTAGATTTTAGATTTTTTTATTGTTTATAATTCTTAANTTCAGAATTTTATTAAGATCTTTTTTAGAATTTTAAACTCTGTTTGGTCCACATTACTTTTTTCATTCTCATTCTTCTACTCATTTTCAACCACACATTTTTCAATAAAATAATATTTTCCATCACATGAATAACTTTTCATTCTTTTTCAACCACATATGCATCATCACATCAACAGTAAAAATGCATTCTCACCTTCAAAATGTACACCAAACGGGTGCTTAGATCTTATTTTTCAAAATTTATTAATTTTATTTTAGAATTTATTTTTTAAAATTTTTAACATTTAATTGTTAGATTTTAGATTTTTTTTTATTGTTTATAATTCTTAATTTTTAAAATTTTAAATAAGATTTTATTTATACACTCGTTTTCATATTTTTTAGTATTTTCAAAATTTTTACACTTAAATCGTTAAAAATGCATTTTTAATTTATAAATATCAGACCAAATACTTCCTGTGTTTGTAAAATTTAAAATTGCTTAAAATTTGCAAACCAAACGCGCCCGAAATGACGAAATATCGAAGGAAAAAGGAGAAGCTATAGTGAAATGAAATAAAAAATCATTCTTTGCTTCACCAAACCGTTTGTTCTTTGAAGCTATGCAGACTCTACTCTTGCCGGCAGGTTGCTCCGGCGTCGCACTATCAGCTCCGCCTTGCTCGGCGAGGATAGCAAAGCCTCTGCCCTGCTATCTCCACCGCCCACTGATTTCCTCTAACGCCACGCCTGACCTTCATTCCTCTCTCTCTTCAGTAAAATCATTCCAATTTTTATCTTCACCTTACTTGATTCTCAAAAATCATGGCAGAAAAACCCTTGCTTCCTCCCCCATTGCTTCAGCGTCTAGTTCTCCTAGTGACGATTCAGAAAAGGCAAAACTCGCTCAGGTCTCTTTCTTTCTTTATCTATGTTCAATTTTTATTAACACAATGAGCAATATTTACATCTGTGGACATTTCGATATTGCAATGTGTAAATTCTTATGATATTGAGTAGAATTGTGTATTTATGGATTTTAGAAATATATTTCTATTTGTTTGTATTTAGGATTTAGGGTTTTGGGGGTAACATATGATTATAGACTGTGGGTTTTTGAATTTTAAACAGACAACTGCTTGTTATAAATTGGGTATCTGCACAGAATTGAGCCTTTAAATTACAGAAAATAAATTAATTTAAATTTTGAGCAAATTTATTGTCTGCATTGGAATTTTTAACTTGGAATTGGAGTAGCAAAAACAACCGAAGCTGGTGTGGTTGGTTCTAATTCCGGTTATGGTTTAGTTGACGCAGGCATTGCTGGCTAAACAATTTGTTTCACGAATTTCAGTTTTATAGCTTCAGATTGATTGTCTTTGAACACTTTTTAATGATCTGTCACGTTTTTCTGTACCTTCTTTCTTTTTTTTTTTTTTTCCTTAATTAGAATGAACAATATGTTAAGTCCTTGAGTTGATGTTTGCTGCTTGACTGATGTTTTTTTAGGTTTCAAAGAGATTAGAGAGCACATCTAGGTATTTCAAGAGATTGGGAGGTTTAGGATTTTGGGGACAGTTAGTTTGCACGGTTGTTGCTGCTGTGATCCTTTCCTTTTCGGTTGTCATTACTGGGAAGGTAACATCACCAGCTACCTTTTATGCAACTGCTGGTGGTATTGCAGCTGCTTTCATCTCTATCTTCTGGTCATTTGGCTATATTCGTTTATCTGATAAGCTTCGAAAAACAGCTAATGATCCTTCAAAGGTAAGTTTACAATTTTGACTTGGAGATTATTGGATTTCTCCAAAGAGTAATGCTATTTATCATCATCATCATAGGTGATGTGGCAACATATCATCCCTCACATTTTCTCTCTCGTCTCCTCCCCCTCTCTCATAAAAATTAAATTTCCCAATCACATTATGCCATATAGACTGTCCATCGATAAATAACATTATTCTTCTCCAAAAGGTTTTTGAACTTCTACTGCCATGTTACATTCTCGTTTCGAATCTACTTGCTATAGCATGCTGATTGACATTGTTCCATTTTACCGTTTGAATTAAATGGTTCTTTTGTCATAGTGAACGTGCATTGAAAATCATTTTACATTTGATGCCACAATCTTGTCTGCTCATTACTAGAAATATATCAGTTACTTGCCCCTGCCCCGCTGCACGTGGCTGTGGACAGCTCAAAAGCCTCAAATTTTCCCAGATGACAAGTATGCTGTATGCATGATGTTTCTCTCTTAGTTTGAACCAATTCGTTGCAAGATTTGTTTCACTAAATGCTTAAAAAAATTCTGCCTTTTCCCATTTTATGTAGACATCCAGGAAAAGGCAACTATTTTTTCTATTCAGCGTTCTTATTATTTCTAGACACTAAACCAGTTTATTTCTTGCGCATGAAGGGTATCTAATTATCAGTCTATGCAAACATCTTTTTTGTAAACAATTTCTGCAAAACAGGTCCATCACAAATATCTCACTATTTGCATGCACCAAATTTGACCCTACACTGAATTAGGGAAACACAAGCAATGTCATATTGAATCTCACATATTTTTGAGATCGATGGAAGTTAAGAAGTCAAAAACATGTTTACGGGCCGTTTTCCATAGTACTTTGTAAAATTGACCTAAATCATTTGCCTCACTTTATAAGCCTTTTATTTCCTTAAATCTTATGGTTCCATTCATTTATCAATGATGATGAATAATTTACAGAACATTGCCAAGTTTAGTATGTTTTGAGGGAAAGAGAGTAATTTCATGTGGCATGAATTCCTTTCGAGCTTGCACGTGTTCTTTTATATTACCTTCAATCAGACTCAGTTTTTATTTATTTATTTGTATATAAGTAATTCAGCTCCAAGTCTAATGTGTTTTCAGGCCCCTCCCCGTGCGGATGTCGTAAGAAGCCTGAAAAATGGAATAGTAGTAAACCTGTTGGGGATGGGTGCTGCTATACTTGGTATGCAAGCAACTGTTGGCTTGTTGGTGGCTAAAGCTCTTACAACCTCAGCCAATCCTTATTACCAGGGTATCCCTCCTGGGAATAGTCCTGTTCTTGCCTTGGATGTGTTCTTGGTGCAGGTATTCTTCATGAACTAGTTCCAGCCTTTTATACTTGATATGTTTTAGTCTTCTAGATATGCACCTGCCCCGGCATTTTTTATTTCATAATTCAAAACTCGGTTATTTTCTTATTTCCTATCTTTCATTTGTACACATGTAAACCAAAATACATAACTAAACGCAATCTGTTTGCTGCCGTGACAATCGCTTACATTTGATAGCAGATAATGAGAAATTTTGTCTTCTCATCTACTCGTTGTGTTACAGGCATCTGCAAATACTATCGTTTCACATTTTCTAGGGCTAGTGTTCTCATTGGAGCTACTGCGTTCAGTGACATTACCACCTTCTGAAAGTGTTCCAGTATTCAAGACTGCGTGAACTTTTTGCGCAGGCTGAGTGAATATACCTTGGAAATTTGACGAGAAAAGATGCTGGCTGGAGTTGACGGGCAGGGAGTCGTTTGTGAGATTGTATTGCACTTAGTCACTCACTTTCTTTATGAACAACACTCATCTTGATGCAGTTTAAACCGAGTTATTGTACTCAATCAATCAAGCTTTTGAAAAATAACATCGTGTTTGTTTTTAACAAGTCTGTTAGTCATTATCGTGGTAGGAAAAAACCTCAGTGTTCTGAATAAAAGAAATACCAATACGTTCGGCTACTGAAGAGGTGGGAAGTCTCCACCTGACAACGTCTGGTTTTTTCAACGAGCCATGACCAGTCCCCTTGTACAATTTCAACGACTCCCTTTACAAATGATTATTCCCTGGCCAGGGGAGCAAAGGTTTTGGGATTTTGATGTTTGTCCCGGCTCAATGACCGGGACAAACAATTGGGCGCCGAGGTGGCGCCATGTAATTGGAGGAGGAGCTGACAGCTCCCCCTCCAATGTGAGGCGACGCCCTGTTTTTGGGCCCGGTTCAATATAGTGTAATTCAAGGTTTTAAATGAGATTGAACTGACATTGCTGCAAAGTTTCCAGTTCTGATAACGTACAGCAACTCACGAAAGGCAGTAAGGAAAAAGAACTTCAAGCAAACGGTACAAAGTAACTAGTGCAACCATCTAACCTATGTAAAGCAAAAAGGTTAAGCATTAATCTGGTGTATGCATAAATATATAGGGAGATGCTACCACTATTTTTCCAAGGCTACTAACGAGGTGCAATCAAATCGTTTTATCACCAAAATTATGCTCGGGCATGGTCCGTTTGAGTCAACTCCGCATCAATGTCACAAGACATTCGTCATTCTAAAACAATAGCCAAAAAGCCAGACTTGCAGTTGTAAGGGCACTTCATGCCTATTTTGCTTTCTAGAACATGCTGATATTCTCAAAATAAAAACCCTAAGGTACCAATTTCTACAATCTGCTGGAATTTTATAAATGAGAAAAAGCACCAATTAACCCACCATAAGTAAGCAGATACTCATCAACCAACTTCAGTAGATTTTAGCTGCCGCCTTGATTCTTCATCAGCCTTCCTTAGGAACTGATCCCAACCACTACCTGGGCTCATATCCAGATAATCATAAGGAACTGCAGTCTTTAAACCCGGTCGAATCCCACAGCGGTTCTCTATAAGTCTAAACTCCAATTCATGGCCTTCTTCCTTTAACTTGTCCTCCAATTCCTCCCAAGTAAACAATAATGGCAAGGTAAATCCACCCCAGGGGTTAAAATCCAAAAGCTTAACTCGCCCATCTCTTGTGACATAAACATCAAATGTGTAACTTTCAGACTCAAAATTTTCCATCACCTTCTCGACAAAAAAATCTCTGATCATCATTTTCAAATCGTCTTTCTCAAGAAGAACAGGATAAAAATTAGTGACCTCACGTTGGCAAATTCCCACGAGATTCCAATTGAATACAAAGCAACGAAATTCCATATGAGGCTGCAGTGAAGGGAACCACTTGCGAAGTGCAAGGTAAAATATCAATGGCCTTGATGCAGTCTTGTCACTGCACAAATCATATGCACGAGAAAGATCGTGGACCAGAGAGTCAGACGACTTCAGTAAAAGAGCAATCTCAGAGAAAGTGGTGCATTTGAGATTCCCAGTTGAACTTATCCATGCAGAGTCTTTAGGCGCACTCCAGTTAAGCTTGGGAAATGCAGCACCCCCAAGGGATTCAATGGATTCTTTAATCATCATTTCCAGTTCTGGGAAAGAAGGAGGTGGCGATGGTTCTACAGCTTCATCTCCAGACCCTTCCAGCGCTACGAAATCTTCTTCCTCTTCGGGCTTACTAACTCTTTTCGGCAGGGCATCATCATTTGAAATGGACAGAGGCAGAAGGAATGAACCAGAATCATCAAGAAGGTACTGGATAAAGGACTCCGGGAGCTCATGAATCTGGGTTTTTATGGATACAGATTTGAATTTTGGATACCATTCCTGAATCTGACATCTATTTATTTCTTCTTCCTTCATTTTAAGAACAAATATTTGCCACTTCTCTGAAGCAAAGAGAAAGAGACCTGCCTTCAGAAAACTGAGCAGTTCCCAATGAAAAAGTTAGCAAATGCATAACTTTAAGAAGAGATGGTAATTTCATAGAACGAACAGAATTTTATAAACACTAAACTATTTCAGATAGATATAGCAAAAGAAAATAAAGTCATCAAACCAACCCCAAGTTTATTAAGAACGAGACTTATTTGGTTGTAGTTTTAAACCATTAAAATGGGAATTATAGCAGTTCAGTTTGAATTCAAATCTCTGGGGTTCCAGATTCAGCACTGTAACATTAAGAAATCCCAGATTAAAATTAATACTTTCCGGCAATATTTAGAAATTCAGCCACAGCTTTGTCCTTCAATTTTTATATTTTAGACAAAATAACTACCAATAATTCCTCTTACAAATTCCAAGAGACAATATTACTTACGAATCACCAGAAGATTAAAATATGACAACAATCTAATTTATCAAACCTCAATTAATAATATCTGCAGGGGCATATTTTGGTCTGGGCATTTCACCGATTACACTTTGGGGGGGCGCCGCATAAAAATTTCAAGCGAGATGTGGTCGAGAAAATCGTTGCTAGAGGAAGATTATCATCAAGAAACAACATTTTGAAAAAAAATAATAATAAATTCTAAGGAGATGAGTTGAAATTAAATCATTCACAAAACACAAACAAATAAACCCGATACTACCTTCCAAGTTTGGTGATGAATTCAGCGCAACCCAACACGTCTCCCTTTTCCCCCCCTCTTTCACAATTTCACGGTTCACAATTTTGCTCTCCAGTTTAGGGGTTCTGGATCGCAGTTACAAGCGTTTTTTAAAAGTGGCTTTCAAGTTTTTGATCCGATTTGAATCAATGAACTTATATCATGTTGACGGACTAGTCACCGAACTTTGTTCTGTACGTTACTCACTCAACTTTGTCATTTACCTCTTCATCCACCACTATAAAAAAAATTCGTTTGTTGAACGCTGACGTGGCTGATGGAATTTCTAGGTGCTGTCTGACGGCCGTTAAAAAATTACAAATCAACAAAAACATTGTTTAATCACTCATCCAACTTACTTTAGGTCACAATTTACTCATCGAACTTCAAAATGCTTCACAATGGTCACTCATCTTTGAGATATTGCACTCCATCCATTATCCATCATATTTNAATAAATTAGCAACGAAGTGAATAAAATAATGACGAATAATGGATGGAGTGCAATTCTTAAATATGAGTAGCCATTGAGAAGCATTTTGAAAATCAATGAGTAAACTGTGACATGGTGTAAGTTGGATAAGTGATAAAACAATGATTTTGCTTATTTGTAATTTTTTAACGACCGTCCTAGGAATTCCGTCCGCTACGTCAGTGTCCAACAAACGGATTTTTTGACATTGATGGATGGAGAGGTAAATGGAAAAGTTGAGTGAGTATTGGAAGCAGAATGAAATTTGATGAGTAGTCCGTGACGATGGTATAAGTTCAGTGATTTTGAAACAATTCACTCCTAATATTTGAGAATTTATTATTCATTAATTTTGAAAGTTTTTTACGAGAATAAGTGAAATTTTTTATTTATATTTTTTGTATGATTTTTTTTACTCATGAGTGATTTTAACTTTTAAACCATTTTTAAACATAATAAAATTTTTTTTTTTTACTTATAAGTAGTTTTTTATCTTATTAATAATATTTTTACTTTATAAACAATTTTTTACACAAAAGTGCTTTTTATCTTGTAAGTAATTTTTTTAAATTGATGCATTCTTATTTTTAAGTACCCTAAAATTATGAGTCTTTTGAAAAATCATATGAAAAGTATTTTGAAGCAAAAAATACTGTGTAAAATAAATTGTCACACGATATCACTTTTTAAAGTTAAGCGTTACTTTTTTATTAAAGAAAGACAAATAATGTTACTTTTATTAAACAGTGATCTTTGTCACTAAAAGTATTTAAAAAAAAAGTGACGAACACTAAAAAAAGTAACACAAATTCAAAAATAAATGACAAACACTAAAAAAAATGACGAATTTTAAAAAAAATGACAAAAATTCAAAAATGAATTTAGTTCAATAAAGTGACATGACTTCATCCTTCAAATATTCAACAATTTCAATATTATCTTTCAACCATTCAATAGCGTCATTAACAAGCACTACATTGGAGAAAAAAATCCCCAAAATCATGCTATACAATTGAAAAAAGAAGAAAAATGGAGAAGAAATCACACAGTGTCTTCATTCTTCTATTTCAACCTCAATATCTCAATCGGAACTCAGTGTTTCCTTGTCAGTGCCAATGGATCTGGTTCATTTTTTTACTAAGAAATTTAGGCCATGTTTGAGCTACATTATTTTTTTATTTTCATTCTTCTACTCATTTTCAACCACACATTTTTCGATAAAATAATATTTTTCATCACATCAATAATTTTTCTTTTTTTTTCAACCACATATTCTCCATCACATCAATGATAAAAATACATTCTTTTTCAAAAAATGTACATCAAACAGAGGCTTAATTGTCTTTATTTTTTCATTTTTTTGATTGAACGCGAAAAACGATTTTGATGAGAATATTGGCAGGGAAGCATATGATGGGTGGGAGAGGGAGATATGATCATAGTGCTGAATTTGTCAGCTTTTCACTAAACATCTTGCTTGCAATGGGGTATTGATGTACTTTGGGAGAATCTTTGAGTAAAGGGAATATAGAATGGAATGGGGATAATGAAAGTTGGTTGGGCTTGAAAAGATTTGCATTGGAATGTTTGGTAAAATATCGTATCTAGTGACAAAATTTAAGTTTTGAAGGATTTTTCAAAATTTTGATGAAATAAAAGTACATGGCCTAATTTTCTCAATAAATTTTGTAGAAATTTATTTTTGAAAAAATGTGTGATAGAAAAATTATGGGACTGTGTAAAATTATTTTATTCAAATAACTAGCGAGAAGCATGTGCATTGCACGTGCCATAATGTAGTTGACTACGTAATAGCGTATGTATTGAAAAATATATATTTATGTCAAACATTAGTTACATAGGATTTTCTTATAAGTTGCTAAATGTTTCGAAACGACATTAAATGTGGAGATAAAAAAAAAAAAAAAAATCACATCCACAGTTATCGAAGAAATCGATGCTCACCTTCTACCACAACCTCCAGGTATCGAAAAATGTCTTCTTATGAATCCCCGATAAAACAGGTATTGTCAATTATTTCATAAACCCCTAATCAATTTTTCAATAAAATAACAGGGGAAAAAACTCGAAATAAAGAAGTTTATTATTATCACATTTTAAGTTTTTTTTAAAAAAATTGAAATCGATCCAAATGGATATTCATATAGTGAAATANAACTCAAAGAAATTGAAAAAAAAAACCAATCAAACGTTAAAAAATAAAAAAAAGACTTAGCCGAGCCGAGCCATAAAGCCATTTTTATATTTTAATAATTGACAATATATTTATTATTATCACATTTTAAGTTTTTTTTAAAATTTTGAAATCGATCCAAATGGATATTCATATCGTGAAATATCGAATCAAGCGAAAAATTGTAAGAAAATGAAGTTTGAAAAAATGACATTGGAATGAGGTTGGTAATGAAAAGAAATATAAACAATCACGACTTTACGTTTCACAATTAATGTAAAATTATTTTGATATTTAAAATTTATCGTCATATATTTATCATGGCCGCACT